ACCATAATTAAAATTCTCAATTCTAAACCAAACCGTTGTTGGTTTGGGTCAAAACCATTTCGTTGACGGATCCGCGTGGCACCAGATCGACGGTTTCTAAAATACGGTTTCGATTCAGTTTTCCGATTTGGCGGTTTTTACTTACAGTCCTAAGAAGTATAGTACAATGCGTCGACTTTCTATTCCATGTATTATTCTTAGATAAATGAACTAGAGAGTAGGGACAACGTAAATGGATGGTGCAATTGTCTATGGATAGAACTTAACAATAGTTCCACCTTTGTCCCAACCTCTCAATCTACTTCCCTCGATTCAAAACCATCTAGATAGATAAGCCCTTACAAGTACGTCCAAGTTGATTCTTTTTGAGAAACGTTTTGCCTGTTATAACCTATGCAATACTGAACAAGAGATTCTGATTGATATTATAAATGATACATGAATGAAGAAAATATACGAGACCGCAACCTAGAGTAACCCAAGTAAGTTAAAACGATCTAATTACATATCCCTTAGTACACAATAAATATAATTCTTATCATAGTCCAATTCCCCACAACATATTTAGCTCCCGTTTGACAACAATTCTTTCAAAACTCGTTTTTCTTTTTTATATTTATTTTCAACCACACATTCTCACAATAAAAATATTTTTCACGTAAACCAAAAACTTTTTCATACTTTTTAACCACACATCCTTCAAAAGTTTAATATTCAAAAACTCATTCTACACAAAAAATGAAGGTCAAACAGTGGCGTAGTTATAATGTTGAAAAGGTACTTCGCAGTTTGCACCGTCAAAGATTAAAAAAACAACGCCTCGAGGAAACATTGATACATCAAATGTGTAAACAACATTAGATTAAAGCAGAGGAAAAAGTGGGTTTTGGCTTTAGAAACATGGCTGGTTGTTTTTTTCCAGAGTGGCGCAGAATTATGTCACCTAAAAAACTTTTTGCATTTTGTATACAAAACTTCAAATGAGGTTGGAACCCATACATCGCATAAAAATCTACTTTTCGCGACCATTCCATGTCTAGTTGTGCAGCTTTGCCAACTCCGTTGTACAGAATAATGCTATACAAAAATTTGTTGCCATGACTTGGGGACACTGCCTTAGGAAAAGAATAATTATCTGCGTGTTTCCGGACATAAAAAACACACATACGTTTTGACAATTTTATCCTACGGTTGTTCATCACAAAGCTGGGATTCCGTGCTTTTGAAACCATTCCGGCATGTGGAATCTTTCATATAGAATGGGTCTTACATCCTTTTGCCGAGAAAGATGCTTGAGAAGTGGAAGGATGACTTCCAAAAGCTGAGGGGGCACAGAGAGGAGCAAGTGAGTTGTGGAGTGGGACAGGGAGAGTGAGGAAGCACTAACAAATTTGTCTTATTCCAGGTACCTGTTCATCGCGTGGTTGTCCAGCAGAAAACGGAATGCATGGAAAGCCATTCAATGGTTGCAGCAAGAAGCTGAACGGGTTGTTATCAACAATAACAACTCGGCATGGATCCTTCGATATGCACGACAGGTCTTTCACATGTTCACGATATTCACTGCAATGTATAAAAAGATGAACAAAAAATGAGTTCACAGTACCAAAAGGGCAGAATGATAATCTAATATGCATTAAAAAAAAAATACAGCCCATTAACCAGTTTCAGTGTACTTTTTATTAATCAGCCATCACTGAACTTCAATGAAAGAAAAAGAAAAGAAAAGAAAAATACGAATCATATAGCATGCAATTACTCAGAAATGAATAAAACACTCAAAAGTTTTCCTTCTATATAAATTCTCATGACATGAATAGCAAAATCAAACCCATGCACTAAGAAACCACAAAGAAAAATAGTATCAACACTGAAGCCTCAGGATTTGGCATGTGCGCTATAGATCAGATACAAAAAACTTAGGGTTGGAGTTTCTTCCCTTGCTTTCTAATTATGAAGCTTTCATCGTGTTTTAACCATTGCAATAAATGCATTCTATTGTTCAAGGAGTAGTTCGTGAATTGTACACACTCAAAATTTCATTGGAGGTAGAACAAACGTGCCATATGGAAGTGTTAGTAGTGGATTTTGTTCCGTGCAATGTCCATCAGGAAAAATCAGACAGCCATCATCAATCTTTAACCGGGTATCCACGCGTCTGTGCATCAGTGGTTTACAAAACTTTACTCTTTTACAAATATTTCGTTTGACAAAATTCCAACTAAGTATATCATGTTAGGATTCCTCTTACGAGTCATAAAATATTTTTGTCTAATTAATTTGAAAATAGTGGTCAAGTGAAAATTGTTCATTTTTAATTTTATTTGTTTAGAATATTATTTCATTTGTTTAATCTAAGGATTATTCTCAATAAGCTTGGATCCAGCTACAGGAATCCTTTTTGGCTAAAATCCACCATTGAAAAAAAACAAGCAGATTTTTCCAAAGTACATCCAAATAAAATTCCACAACCACAAAACACTGTCACCCTGGTCACAACCAAAACCAGTCATCACCTCCCATATTAATTGAGCTTAGTATGATTGTTGCTTTTAAGGAGATGGAGTACATTTGGGTGTGGAAATGATGTGTGAAGTATTCAGTGTCCCGGGAGGGGAGGGAAAGTAGCAGTAGGAAGGGAATTCAACAAAAGTGAAAAGGTAAAGGATATAAGCTACAAGTCTATTTTAATAATATCGATAATATAATCATTCGGTTTTCAGACGGCTAAGCTAACCAAAATTTTGAATCATGTATAATTTCCTAGAGTGGCAACTACAGAAATAAAAATTTCAACAGCTGCAACATTATCTTCAAATGTACTCAGCTATCTCCCGAAGCCATAGAAGGCATAAGATTACACATGGACAGTGCATATGACAATAATAGAGCATGAACAGTAAGTTATATGAGGTCAATGTGAAACATGGTAGATGCTTCAATGAATCTTTAGACTACGATATCTTATTTCTCTCTTATTGTGTATGTGTGAGATCAACAATGAAAAGCGTATCGAAGATGGCAAATTACAAGCTTATGGGAAAAAATACGATGTTATCAAAGAGGATTGTTGATATTCACAGTGGTAGACCAAAGTTTTGGAACAACTATACTTAAGTACTAATTGTCGAAGGCCGATAAAGTTTATGGCCAAAACCTTGTTCATCGAAAATATGATTCCAATAAAAACTACCGCAAGTGTACNTTAATTTATAAATAAATAGAAATGAGTGATGATGTGGACAATAATTGTGAGTCCCACAAGATCGGTGCAGTTGCGTCCACCTACCAAAAATGTTTCAAAATCCCGTATTCAAGGATCGATCATAAAAGTATTTGCTGAGGTGCAGTCAGCATTAACCTTGACCGCCGATTGTGAAAGCATCACACAAGAACAACTTCGGTGGTTGAGATATGTTGTGTAGACATAAAGAGGTTCATGTTCATAATAGTGATGCAATCTTGGTAAAACACAATGATAGAAGGATAGACGCTAATGATCTTGTTGCTTTAGATCATCGAGCATATCTAGCAATAAACAAAAGGGAATGGCGAAAAAGGATTCAAGTAACCAGCCTATTTGGGATGTTGGGAGGTGTAGACAGTTGTTAGGTACGATAGTAACCAACTCCTGCACCCTAAAAGAATTAGGTATGGTCTTCGGGAGGCCACAGAATCTCATAGTTAGAACAAACAAAAAGGAGGGGCAAAGTCTGATAATCATCTATGCTAGTAAAAATTTAATCAATATGCATTTTTACATGCATACATAAATAAATACATAAAAAGGCGAATAACAAATACTTCACATAGGAATGGTTAAAAGGCATACATCCAACATGTGATATTTTTGAATCTTGTCATAAACTCTATTAGATAATATGAAGCAGCAATAAAATTCAACTTTATTTGTGCCACATGTATTAGAAATACCAAACCAAATAGAAGCTGAGAGGGAACCATGGAATTCAGCTAAATTGAGCACACTTCATAATATAATTATTGTCTAAGTGGTTGTAGCATGTGTTGCATAGACTTTATTGAAAGACAACATGGATCAAACAAGCTGACAAAAAAGGATTCACATAATCAACCCTTGATTTATTGCGAACATAACTTATTTCAATATATTAAAATTGTTTTAAAGAACGATAGAGAATTTGGGTGTTCAACACTATATACACTAACTATTTCGTACAATTTCTGTGCATGAACAAAGCATTGTCATCCCTTAACGCCCTTCATTATTTTGCTGAAAATATTATTCCTTCACTTTCAAATTGAACCACTAGATTTTACTTAGATTGGTTTTTCAACTGAAGCTTTGACTCTCTCTTTTTTTTTTTTTTCAATTTTATTACTCCCAAGAGTGGTGCAATTCGAGTAGACTGGGTCAAAAGGGCAGCACATAGAACAAAACTAACATGGATGCAGTGACACTGAGACTTAATTTCATTGAACTTTTCAACAAAGGGAACTTAATGGTGAATACCATCGAGTAACTAAATAAAAATACGAGGAACATTATGCTGATTGAGTAGTAAAAAAAAAATTTCCATTTAGGGTAAGTAGCCATTATTTTGAAAAGGAGAAAACATTAATGAAGACATTCAATTTTAAAATGGAGGGAGTAGTATAAATTGCATGAATACATATTCAAGGTGTGGTCCTTCCTTCAAGTACGACAAATTAAGGGGAGGTAAGTGGGTTAGAATTCTACAAGAAAATTTAAAGAAAAGAAAACAATGTAATGGCCTTGTGGCCTTATTGCGGTTATTGGAATGCTGTGCATTGCGAAATTCCAATCAGATTAAGGAGGTTCAGAGATTTTTACCTGCAGAAAATATGAAATAAAGATGAGGAAGAAACTGATTTTCATGGAATCATTCCTAAAATACACAGGAATAGTGCAGTGTCAAAATGCACCTTTCAATCAGAAAGAGGAAAATAATCACGAAAGTTAATTGATTGGGAATAAAAATGGAAATTGGATTAAAACTTAGTCTTCAAGGATCCAAAATTCTAATAGGAATCCAACTTCCACTTTGGAAATTGAAAATAGCAGCTATCAGAAAACTCTGATAAAACTACACTAGACTAAGAAATTCATGTGATCTTGAAATGCCACATGCAAACATAATCTGCTAATACTGTGATTTTATTCAAGCTTCCCCCTTCTTAAACTCAAATGGACTGCCCTATTTATGGGAAACCATTTTAAAGGGAAAACAGAAATTGAAGGCTTCCACCAAAAGCCAATCAAGACAACATGATATTATTCAACATAGATCCATAGTATTCAACAACTTAAAAGTGTGGAATCTAACTTCTAACAGAGAAAAGAAAAAATAAGAAAAAGAAAAAAAGACAAAGGGAAGAAGCACGAGCCAATCATATGTTTATCAAGTTTTATTGCTAAACAAGTAGGAGTCCAAACCTAACACCTCCCTTTGAAAACTCAAATAGAAAGAAAATTGTCTAATAGTAATGTCAATAAACAGAGTACGAAAAGGATACACACTCAGTTCAAAAATCAATACTTAGAAGAGAAGATACAAAATTAGCAAAAGCTTTTAAAAAATAATGTTTGATTAGTACTTTCCAACTGCCTTTTGGCACTGAAAGAAACATGAAACAGAAGGCTCATAAATATTTTCGCAAGTCTAAACTAATTTGTCGAAAGGAACTTCCTATAGCTTATAAGCAATGTCAAACATGTTCTGCTTATATGCACGGAAATTAACCCCTTAAAATGCTTATAAGCAATCTCAATCACTCTCATATTATTTCAACAATGGTGAAAGGGTTATAAATGCAAAAGTAAACATGTCGTCCATGTCTTTGATGCTATTATAACCCCATAAGACATATATGCTTTGGTGCATCTCGTGACTATTTTACTTATATTTCTCTCTTTTTTTTTTCAGTCACTTTTTGTTAATATATAAAGATATCTTTTTAATAATTTATGGATACAAAAAGCAAAGAATATAGGACAAGCTTCATGCATCAAAGATATCAAGGTGTAAGGAACATGCAAAAATGGCACGGTTCTACATACAAATAGAACATAGTACAGAAGCTTCTACACTTACGTGCTAATCGTCGAAGGCCGATACAGTCTACGACTGAATCGATTTTCAGCATCTATTCTGTCAACAAGTGGTCTAGCATAGCCTGCAAGAGTATAAAAACAGAAATATCTTAAAAAACATGGTATAACAATCGGAGCGAAGAAAATTAAAAAGTTGTGGAGTGTCAAGAAACCTTCAAGTCCAGCAGTAAATATCACAAGATCTGCAAATTCACTTAGTTGTTTTAGAAATTCTCTCAGTCCAGGACGTTCAAACACTGTCACATAGTTCATCTTAGGTTTGCCTTCAGCATCCTTGAAATCCCACCAAAGAAACAAATGTGTAAAAGGAAGAACAAATATTACATTGATATTAGACATTTTGCTTAATCATTGATATCTGACATAAACCATAGTTCACCTTGTCAGAGGAGATGCATTCCAGTTCAAACCATTTTAAACCAGCTTCTGTTGCTTGAGCACGTAGCATAGCAGGCAAACTCAATGTCTCATATGCACATACTAGAGTTTCGTCCAAGTGAAGAACCACCTGCTTCCGGTACATAGGTGAGACCACGGAGCAATTCTATTTGGAGGTAAACACTTTTTTAAAGCAAGGAAATTTTGAATGCCGAGTAATGACAATATGAATTTATTTAGCACAGACATGTTGTTCACCTACTCAAGTCGTAGAAATTGACCCAGTTACAAGTCACTCCAGATTCAGTGACCACTACCTGATCCTTTCTATTTTCAGCTTCAATTTTATAGGTAATATTCTAGAAACTCAAGCATTATGAATAAGTCCAAATTATATCTCTGCCCTCTAATTAAGGCAACTTCAAATTTATAGAGAGAAGTGGAGGACCCAATACAGAAAAGCACAAACAATAGACAACGAGAAATAAAAGGCAGCGATGGTGTGGTGTTGCACAACTGTAGACACCAACACTGAACTATAATTCATCACAAGTAAGCTATGCATGGGCAGAATTTCGTCTGCCGTGCAAATTGTTACAACATTATGCATAGAAGCCACATTTACAATTCTATTGATCCTACACATGCTTCCCTGTACATTAAATCCAAATGG